AAACTTAGGGCTCTTTGAAAAAATTACTATTTCATTGATGATAAAGGCATTATTATTTTAGGGATGTTGAAGAAGTAAGCGAAGAGGAAGAGGTGCAGAGCGTCGGAGCGAATTCAGAAGTTTCTCAATCAAATAAGATTGCCGAGGATAATGAGGAAAATGAGGAGGAGGAAAATTTGGGCTCAGCTAGCGATGCTACCAGCCAAGATAAAGCAGTAGCTGTGGAACATGATAATGGAGAAGAAAAGGAGGAAGGAGGTCTGTGTGATTTATCATTTTTCGTTTAATTTTTTCCAAAAATGTGAATCTACAAGGTCCTAAACCAAGTCTACGCGAATTTATTTAACCCTAAGCTGATGATTATCGCATGATTGTAGCATGAAAGTAATATGAAGAACTTAAAAAAGAAGACAAGAATAGAACGAATTATGTAATGCAAGATGTAGAAATATTGCTGGTATAGGAAAAATAAGTACGAGAGAGTTAAGACGTTTCGGTCCATGAAGTCATATACGTCTTAGCTCAACACCGCAACTGTACCTCGTCAGTATGACTTCAGAGATGAGAAGAAGAGGGAATGGAAGGCAGGAAGAAAGAAGAAGATAGGAACAGGAGGAATTTTTTAAAACTTTCACAAACGTCATTTACCACAATTGTCGTACTGACAAAATACACTTGCAAGGGATACGCAAGAATTATGTATGTTTTAGAGCTGATTTTGAAATATTTCGATTTAATTTTGAAAAAAGCTGAATTTGAAGCAATTTAAAACAGGGTGTCTGTTAAAATTTCCAAAACAATTCGTTTTTCATCTTGGTCATCTTATTTTTCAGATAGAAAAGCTGGTGAATCCAGTCCTTTTGCATTCAGTTAGGCCCTACTTCCTTAAAAACCCCGAGAGAAAGCATATTCTCCGTACATCTGTTGCGACAAAAATGTTCTTTTAATACATTAGCGTTGCCTGCTTCTTTCAATATACTAGTTTCTATAGTTTTTATACATTCATATCGACAATTGCGTAAGCCATTGAAACATTAGCAATGCACACTTTTGTAATTTCAACTGCCACAATTGTCATACCGTCGAGGTCAGTTGTGGTAATGGTAAGAAATGTATACGATTTAATGGGCCGAAACATTTTTTACCGTTTGAATAATCTCACAAATTTTTTAATTTTCATTTATTACCTTCTTTTCTTTGTCGTTTTTCCAGTCTTATTATAATTTTCTATTACAGAGGAAAAAAAGGAGGAAGAGGAGGAGGAGGAAGAGCAGCCTGGCCCATCGAAACGTCGACGTATTATGCTGTCCAGTGATGAAGAGGATGATATGGATAAGACGCCAGCATCACCAAAATCCAGGTAAAAAGCCCTTAACTCTGCTGAAACTGTAATTTTCAGGAAAAAAATGGGAAAGACTGAGGAGTTTTTTTTGCAAAAAATGACCGAAATTCACCGTTTGTGCAATAAGCCAGCCGCACAGCTAACATACGGGCTGCATACATTTGCAGATTTGCAAGCGAACAAAGTGAAAGCATAGGCGGCTCCAGAACGGACTCCTGGAGGAGCAGGGTGGACGAAGGCAGGGCTCCGGCACAGGAAGGGGAAGACGGCTATCCCCTTCCACCCTGGAATTATGCAAAAACTATGAAGTAAAGTTGTAACACTGCTGCACTTAGAGCTATTTCAGTCTTTAGTTTACTCCAGTTTTAGCTTTAGACCTTGATTTGGAATTGCTTTCAGGGAAGCAAGTGATTCGGAAGGTGAAGGCGACAGCACAGAGGTTGGTGTTGGTCAGCTAATGACCAATATATTTGGTGAAGATAGTGATGATGAAAAAGAGGCCGACGATCAGTCACAAAGCCAGGTGATTGCTTTTCTTTCGAAAACCACTAAAATCATAGGCATCAGTGCTCCAAAAGTCTGGATCTAAAGCTAAAACTGATGAAAACTCTCTTCCGCACCCCCTCCCACACCCCCTGGGAGCCTCATTCCCCTCCCACCTTTACCCTCTCCTCCAGGAGGTCGTCCTGGATTGCTTGGCTTGTCATTGTAGAGCTTTGATGCTTGGAGACGCTGGAATTAGCTACTTCAGACCCTTAAATCCTCTACTTTCCTGTTTTGGATAGTACCGGTAGGCACGAAATTCTCAAAAAGCGTGTTAGCTATGGCATTCTCTTGGTGTAAAATTTTTTGGCTCAGATTTTGCTACGGTCCTAGAGCCGTCTTGGACCTTTTTTCTTCCTTTGGCTCTTCCCAGAGTTTGCTAGCACTCCCTTTTATATCCTCAAATCAGGGAATTACCTATTTCCCTTCGTTTGGCTGATTTGCTTCCGGATTAATCGAATTTTGAGCATTATTGATTAACTTAGATATTATAGGTGTTTATGTACATTTATGTATATATTTGTGTTTTCGAATGTATGTATTGTGTTTTTGTATGTCTACGCTTTATGTATGTTTGCATGTATTTGTATGTATGAATATGTGTGTGTGTTTGTTTGTATGCATATGTGTGTGCATGTGTCTGTATATATGTATATATATATATGTTTATATATATACACATATATGCATGAATGTATGTGAATTTGTAAGATTATACGTGTTTATTTACATGTTTGTATTTGTATGTTTGTGTGTGTGTGTGTATGTGTGTGTGTTTGTATGTGTGTGTACGGTTCCAGACATTTTGATATGTAAAATTACGCACATTTAGACTGCTAAAAGCGGGGCAGAAGATGACGATGAAGATGAGCCGCGATATATTCGCGATGAGGTTGACGAGGATGACAGGTTTGTTGGTTTATTTATTCTTTGTTCATCGCTCATGGTATATATTGTATTTCGCATTTCGCGTCGTGGAAAAAGCGCAAAACAAAAAAAA